AATACTTATAGTTATTGAATCTTTAACTTGTCAAGCACTTAGTTATTGCATTTATAACTTATCAAGCACTTAGTTAATGAAAAAGTAATTTAACAAGCACTTAGTTACGACAATTGTAACTTAGTAATTGAGATTGAAACTCATTACAACAACTGAATTGAATGTAATGAATTACTTTACGGCTCCAGTGGTATTTAACTCGTGTTCCTTTTGATTGTCAGTAGATTCTGCTATCTGCCAGATGTGATAAGTTGATCACTTATAGCAAGTTCACATTTCCTTGTTGGCATGCTCTGTACCACATGCTTTAGCATTGCTGCACTCAAATTTAAGAGCGACTTCAGTAACACCTGTTGAGGGACGTAAGAACTTAATAGGAGAGGACAGTGATAAACAAGGGCAGGTGGTGTGCTGTTTTGAAGAAACAGGATAAGTTGTTTACGTTCATTTCCTTTAAACTAAAAAGTGGGCACAACTGTGTGTCCCAGATGTCTGGAACATATGCGTGCAGCTAGCACTCAAAAAATGAATGTAACTATGCCGCTCTTCATATGATATGGTCACGCGTCACACGAACTGACATTGTTGTTTAGAATTCACTAAAACAAAATTGAGTGAACGAAGTCACGTTTAAAAGACGTACAATTTGCATTACGTAGCTGCCCTCCTTGCAACGAGAAAGAGGGAAATGTTAGGTAGCACTGCATGTGCTGCATATGCAATCGTAGATGCTGCACGAAAATTGGCTCAATGCGACGATATGAAAATGAATGAAAGAGAAAATCTTTTTACGCCGTCAACTATGCGTTCACAATGATAGTGCCATTCTTTAACCAGATGACAAAAAAAAAAAAAAATCCCTACCAAGGATCGCATACTTGTAAATATATCAGCTTGAACTTTAGAAATAACTAGAACACAGAGAAAGAAAGGACAGCATATGACACACAGCTGCATGCCATATTCTGTCCTTTCTTTCTTTGTGTTCTAGTTAGTTCTAAAGTGCAAGCTGATCTATTTACAAGTATGTACCAACAAGCTCAACTCTTAACCGTTATTAATGATCGCATCTTGATTTAGGGCTTGCTTGATCCTTATTTCGACATGTTTTGAAACTACCGCGTCATCACTGAAACCCTAAAACTAACTAAATATTGTAAACATTTAGTTCGTTTAGTATTGTAGTTAAAGGTCGACAATACTTTTGAAAATTCCGACTGGCAACTTGAACTTTAAACTGCCCCTACCAAAATCTGCCCTTGGGCCTTCCCAAAACACAATAGGAAGCATTGGCTAATAGATGGATGACAGACACAATTGGTTCCCAGACAACAATGGCGCGCTAAAGTAATAAAAAATCAGTCTGGAAATCGAGATCACAATAAGAGAGATAATAAGGTCACGCACAGTTCTCTCTCGACACAGAGCGATTCTCGAGACTGCGCTACGGAACGCAGCCAGTCGCGGTTGGAGAACGCTATCCACTACAAAAAAGCGGTGCGTGATATGCATAGCCTTCTGTGGCACAGGGTCCTTATGCATCCAATAGTATACACAAGTTCTAACAGAAACACAAACTGCAACAGGCCTGGTTAAATAACGAGCCAACTAACCGAGCACAAACACTGTTGAGATAAACCCAAATGCAATGAAATATGTGATTTTTTTTGGCTAACTGAACATTTTGTAAGTATACAGGATCAGTGATATCTTTCTGGTTTCATCGTAGAAAGTCACGCAAGTTTTCTTGCCAAAGCCTCACTGCCGTTAGTTTGCTCGCTGTGTTCACCCTTGATGTTGCTTTAAAAACAGGGTTGTAAACCTAATATGTGGCTTGCGTGTGACATCACCTTGGTGTGCTGCTTATTTTATGCATCTTTCACCACATGTGCTGTGGTGAAAAATGGCAATACTGGAAGATGTCCTTTGAGTAACAAAACTGCTAGGGTGCACTACTTTTGGACATGCTTCAATTTCAATGCTTCAGTCAACTGTCGACAGAGAGATGACAATAATTACTCTGGCTGCTTAATCTTTCAAACGTGTGGCCAGCCATCAAGTGTGAGAGGTGAGAAGGTTGTGAACACGGTCACGGTCATAGCCAAAAAGATTACATTTCTTGCAGGTTCCATCATTCAAGATATGACAATTCCTTGTTCTGGTAGACGACACACCACAAACAAGATATAGGAGTAGGGCTCTGCTGTAGCCAAGACATTTTTTTCGGGGGGACGGGGCTAAGGTGCCTCGTGGTCTGTACCTTGAAGTGCGGGGAGGGTTAATGTCTAAATGCGGTCGAAAGACGAAAAAAAAAAGGGGGGGGGGGGGGGGGAGCTGTAGCCTCATAAGCCCCGCTGGCTACACCACTAGAGGGGTGCGATGAAAACCTGTCAAAAATTTCCCCCATTCCCTTCGTGTTAAACTTTCCCCAGTGTTTGTGGACAGCTAAGAAGGGCAATGTAAGATTATGCACTTTTCAACTGCAATAAACCCACATAATAATAATAGGTCTTTATTGGTCCAGGAGATCTGTCATGATGTTGGTGGAACTTGAAACGTTGTGTGCGACTCCCGCCCTGTCCGAGAACACGGAACCCAACACGTAACGCAAGGTTGTTTTTTTTTTTTTTTTAAATTTGTGGCAGTTTTTTTTTTTTTTTTTTTGTGGTGCTTTGGGATTGAATTTTTAGGTTTACTTTTCTTCTAATAGGCTACTTCTATAAATCTGTCACCGCGCGCGTTGCATTCTGGGAATCTGGGGGTCAGGAGCGGAGCGCGTATGGATTTTGCTTCCCACTGATTCTCGCGATGAATAACGCGGCATTACGCCGCGATGCGGCGCTTCGAGTTTTGGAACAAATGTTGGAAAGTGTTGTTTGTGTTCAATTTTTTTTTATTGATTTAGTGATGTTCAGTAAATATTTTCGGTGGGTATAAAAGTCGGCATTTATCGGGACACATGTTGTAGAAAACGGGACACAGAGCTCCGATTCGGGGTGTTTTCTCCGATTTGGATATAAAATCCGGCTCGGCGTGGTCACATTTAGAGGTCTAACGGTACGCACAGAAAACACGGAACTCCCCAGTCATACGATATCGTCAGACTGGAGTCCACGGCGTCGCCAAGACGTCCGGTGAGCCAAGCATTTGCGTATCTTCTTTACCAGTCCTTGGAACCTTCCCGCACCGGCAGGGAATGCACGCGGTGCGCGTCGTCTACGCAGTGGGCTCGGAGCCGAGAGTCACACGCGAGCTGGCGGCAGTGACGGCACACGTACAGCAGCGAATACGTAACCGACAGCGATGTTTTCATGGTCAGAGCCTTGGCACAGGGAGAGCTGCCAAAACGGGAAATCCCTTCCCTCTCCCCCCTTTCCCCCCACCGACGCCGTGTGACACACGCGCGTGCATGTGCAGACGCACCGTTAGCCGCAGCTGACAACGCGATACATTCGTAGTTCGATCCAGCCGAGCATTCGAGAGTTTTCCACGACGGTTCGGCAGCGCAGACGAACTTGGGCGCCGCGTCAGGTCTGCGACCATCGTAGAGGGACTTGGGAAAACTCTATCGCAAGCACGCCGCGCGACCGTGAATCCGCGAAGGTCTCTCGCGCGAGCCAAGTTCGACGGATGGATGGGACGAGCCGGAGAGGAAAAGGGAAAAAGAAAGGGAAAAAAAAAAAAAAAACACAACATAAAGGATAAAACATCAACACTGAAAGCACTGCAGTTTCTCCCAACTGCAAGTCGTTACCGATAACGCGAATCGGACCTAAAACTGCACTGATGTGAACAACGAAGCTCGTTGTTCGGTTGCCCCGTGTGCGCGCGCGCGGTGCGCGTCTGCATGGAAAAAGCGCGTAGTCGGCGATGTAGGACGGCAAGAAACGCCGCATTGCATTAATCTCCGCCTTTTGAAGGGGACCACAAAAGAGTGCAAGCCCGAGACCTCGAGCAGAGGACGGCACGCGGAACCGCCGATAACATTTCGGGGTCTTCCTCCCAGGGTCGCCGTTGTTTCACGAACAACGTCTACTGCGTCGCCAAGAGGAAGGCCGCGCGTCCGTGAAACTCGCTTATGGCACATGCGCGTTTACAAAATCGCCACGAAGGCCGAGCTCTTCCGTAACTCGGAAGGCCACCGAGATCGCTGTATTGCGAAGATTAAGCCTAAAACCTTCCGACGAAATCAGCTGGCCTTCGTCCCGATGAACCGGTAGCGATCGCTTCCCCCACCGACTACTCCGGCTCTTCCGCGTAAACTCCGGCCCCTGCCGCTTCGTTTCCAGTTCGAAAAGCATCTAGAATTGAGCTCACCTCTGTTGAGTCTGCAGCGGTACGGCGGCTAGGTGTCCAAGCGCACGACGAGCACACTCATGCGCCCGGGCAGACACCGATGTCTTCACACAAACACGATCAGCCGCAACGCCGCTTCTGCTGCTCTCGACATCCACTCGCCGTATGCGATCGCGCTGCTACTGCGCCTGCGCGCAGTGGGCAGACAAACGTTCCGTTCCTCTCGGCCGCACTCTTTTCTTTTTCTTTGTCCCAGGCGTCGTAAAAGTCGAGAACGGGAAGGCACAATGCGAACACGGTGATGAAGGACCCACCTTCGCGAAGAACTTCAGAAGAACGGCGCTGCGTCAGCTGCGTTTCCACAAGTTTCACAAAGCGTTCGCGGTCCAAGTTACGCCGCAGTGAATGCGACAAGGACATCCCTCTGCCGGCTCGCACGCATCGACTAGCAGACGAAGTCGCGTCCAGTTCGTATTCAATGCAACGTTTCGGTCGTATCAGCCATAGCCAACGTTTCAGATCTTTATAATTTTTATTTTACTAATGGTGTACTACAATTTTGTAAAAAAATATATTAGAGAAACGAAATTTTTACGAAGTATTTTAATGAGCCAAGTTTTATCGGTTTTATCGATAAAAGGCAACAATGTTTCAAGATGGCGAACGCCTTGTTTCCTGTTTCCTTTCAATCTTCCGCTCCGGTCGCTCCGGTAGTAGGTCCTACTTCAGGCGGTCCCACCTCAGGTGAACATTTGCTCGATTTGACGGCTTTTCTGACCCGCCCATTGTAAAATTTTACATTCCGCTCGTCACACGAATGACCAGGTTGTTGTCACTTCAAATGAACGCGTCCTAGTAGCTGGGAAGAGAGAAATGTGAGTCTGACAAAAGAAGACCACCATCCGGTTTTCAACCTTTACGTGGCTGGCGTGGCTAAAGCCGGTCGTCTGCGACCTTAGCTAAATGTCTTCTTGGAGTGTTTTACTTCTGGAAATTCTTTAAAGCAGAGCACAAAACAACAACGTCCGCACACTACAAGCCTTCGTGGTACGGGCGACCTGCCTTTATGAGGCTCCGCGGTTCTCCTGAGCTAAGTTAAATATCACTACCACTAAAATGCAAACGAAAAAAAAAAAAAAAAAAAAAGCTTTATGCTACTTACTACTTGGTCCCCACATATTGTTAGAGTTAAAAATCCACACAAACAAAAAGTGCTACAACCCAGTGTTAAAGAAATACTGAGCCAAAAATCGGGGTCGAAATGATTCGTTATAATAGTATTTATAGCAGATCACTAATTTTTATACCACGTTTATTTAAACAAGAATGCCCTCTAAAGTTAATTATACAAGAAAATTTATATAAAAGGGTGAACCTCGGGGGGGGGGGGGGGGGGGGGGGGAGAGTGAGAGAGAGAGAGAGGAGGAGGAGGAGGAGGAGGGGGAAGAGGAAGGAGGGAGGGGGGGAGGGGCTGGGCTGGGCTATGTTTGACAAATGTTTCGTTTCTTCTGAAAAGAAGCGAAAGTGACGATATAGCGTCTGATTGGTTAGAGGCTCAAATGACGAAAGTTCCCTCTTTCGTCGATTGAGCCTCTAGCCAATCACACGCAATATCATCACTTATGTTTCTTTTTTAGAAAAAAACTAAACATTTGTCGAGCATAGCCCCTTCGGTGAGCTTTTTTAGAGGCTTGTTTCGTGACGTCACGGTCCTCGCTCAGCTCGCTCCTCGGCGGTGAGGGCTGCGATACAGCAGCCATCTGGGGCTTGTGGCGGTCGCTGGGTTTATAACAACTTAAAAGTGATGCCACTTCATTGCGCTGTGCAAAGCTTCTCCAAACCACGTAGGATACAGCAACAGGCCTGTGTGTATGTCTTTGTGCAAGCTTGCAGTGCAGAAACTCTGGATTGAAGTGGCCCGCCCTTTACAGCTGGCATTGGCCTCTGTCGAACCCGCCTATCTTGCACAGATAATTTCGTAAAGGGGGATGATGAAAAGAGCCCAAGGCACTCAAAACTATTACAAAGTCTCAGCCTGCCGGTGAAAAATATCAGCTTAAAACCCATAGATTTGCCCCCCTGTTTTACGTAGAAACACAGCGAGAGCGATTCAGCGGGGCCATGAAAAAAATAGTGGTGTGAAGAACTCTGTTGCTTTCTTGGCATCTCAAATATGTGCATGTAATAGAAACGGCTTCATTTGTTACTCGTTCTAGTGATAGTGTAAAGACCTTTCCAATCTCAGTAGTTGCTTGACTTGGTTGGTTTCAGTTTCGGCACGCTTACGTTTGTGTTGGTGTGTTATGTAGTTTTTGTTTTATTTTGATAATAATTCGTGTATTTCTATCTACATTGATGGTGGAGCTCGAGGAAAAAAGCTGTGAAATACAGCTTGACAAGGCCCTCGACCCACTACATAGGCAAAACAACAAAAATGCAGGAAAAAAAATGCTACTTTATGCGAGAGTATGAAATGGGTGGATAATATACGCACACAACGCACAAATAAAAAAAATATTGAATAGTCCTGGAAATATTAAACAAACTGCCAGATCACTGGTATTTCACCTGTCTAGGTTTACAAAATTTGTCTCAAAGTTGCTTAAATGACATCCTAATAAGATCCAACTCACTAGCATCAAACTGGTTGAGCAATCTAGGCAGCGTATATCTAATCATCTGAGAGCCGTAATTTGTCCTCGGACCTCCGCGCTACCATTTTCCAATGTTCTGCGTGACGAGTGAGGTAAACCGGTTCCTCTACCAGATAGATGTCCCAAATTCGTAAGAAAACACGTTTCTGTGGCTTTCCAATTTGAAAGTATTGTAAGTCTATAGTTGTATAAATTGTATATATTAATAACGCGGAGAGCCGTAAACCATAGAGCTAGAGGTTCAACTGGTGCTAGTGTCTACGCGACTTCCTGGAGGCAAATTGGAAGCAGACAGCAACCAGTCTACTTTTGCAGTGCTCCTGTACATTCCTGTGGGAAAACGCGTGTGCATTTTGTCTCTTCGCCGGAAAATAACATGAATAACTTTCGTTATTTCGGTTGTACCGTATAGTATATACCTTTATTAATTTTGGGAAAGCATAATTGCTTTAGTTACAGCTTTTTTCTTTACCCCTGAACGGTGTTAAACGTTGCTGTATTTCAGGCCCAAATCTCTGTACCATGGCAGGTATGTAAAAACGAGCGACGATTCTAAGCATAATAACAATCGAAAGGAACGTAGAGTGTGTTCAAGGTTAGCTAGCATTCCGGCGGCACTTATATATTGCTAATATGCCCGTCCTGTCATTATATGAAATTTACTCCTTCGTGCTCATCTTTACGATCGGTTAAAAAAAAACATTCGGACGTAAAACATAAAGTATGTGTGTCTTTTTATTATTTCCTATGTCGGGCAGTTTTTATCGGGCACCTGTTCTCTGGCTTCTCCCTATTTTCAAAGATTTGGAGCGTGCGAGTGATGATTTGAACCCAGAACAAGCATCTTCGCACATATTCATGAGCAGAAAGAATAAAACAGTACTTATTTATTGGAAATCGGACTATATTACGTGGCTTTCAATTTATTTTGATCATCTGCATGCACAAGGAGTTACTTATCCAGTGTTCCAGCGTAGTTCTTGCGGTCTCTCTTTGTTTTCCATGTGTCCTTCGTTCGTTTGGCATGTATATCCCTTATGCTAGAAAGCACCGACGCCGTGTTCACACTAACAGTGTTCGACAGTGCACATAAATACATGTATGAAGCAGTTTTAGCACCGTTTTCCATGCCAAGAATTTAAAATAAAAACACTGTAACTGACCAATTATTTCGTCTGCGTGACTGAGAAATGTTACAATGTGCCTAGTACGTACAAATTGTTCGTGATATTTGCTCTTATAATCGAGCGCAGAGAGAAAATGCACTCGCTTTCTCCCATAGAAATGCATTACCAGAAGTCAATTTCGGACTGGTTGCTGTCTGCTTCAATTTGCAGCACCACACTAGCGCCAGTTGAACCTCTAGCGTACATTATAATAATTCTATGCCGTAAACTGACCAGCTGTATGAGAGTCAAACAGGATGCCACCGATGGACCTCAACACCCTTTTTTGTAATAAAAGTATTTTCTCAAGACTGAATAATGTAGCCGAGCCCCAGACGAGATGGCAGTAATTTAAGTGGGAATAAAACAGTGAATTATAGATTAGTAGCTTCACATTCTTTGGCGAAATCGATTGATGAGGGCATATCAATCCAGCTATTCGTGACAGTTTAGTGATTATAAAATTAATGTGATTGTCCCAGGACATATTTTCAGAAAAAATTACTCCCAGTGCCCTGAAATGACTCAGAAACTTGATTGGAGTTGAATTTAAAGTGATATCTCGCGTTAGTCTGACCGATTTACCTTTGATGTGAAAAAGTGCAGCTTTTGTCTTGTTTATGTGTATCTGTAATGGAGTTCTCCCGACTCCAAATTTACAGTTTGGAAAATGTGAGATTTGCGATGTCTACTAGCACATTGCAGTCCTCTCCCGAAACAAGTATTGTTGTACAGTCTAGGGTCGTTATGACAGACATTGATTTTGACCAAGATTTCGATCTGTTGTAAAAGGAGTATGTTGTATGCAGATATGTAGTTACGGCGACGGCGACGCCACTCAAGCCGGAAACGGGCGCCTAAGAGCTGCGCTCTAAAATGACTATAGGGAGATGGCACGTCGGACCCTTTTAAAGGATGACCATGGTACGACTTTTTTCATGCGACACCTTTCTTTCTGCAGCTTCGAAACGGATCAAGGTCCGCAGTTGCCGCTCCCTCCGCCCAGACCGGAGCCACAATGCGCGCAGTCGTCCAACGGGTCAGCTCTGCCGCTGTACACGTGGACGGCCGCCTGGTGAGCTCTATTGGCCGTGGCCTGTGTGTGCTCGTTGGCATCCACCGCAACGACACCGATGGCGACGTCGACTACATTGTCCGCAAGGTACTCAACCTGAAGCTCTTCGACGGTGACGACGGCAAGCGCTGGCGGCGCTCAGCACGCGAGCTCGGCCTCGAGGTGCTTTGTGTGAGCCAGTTCACGCTCCAGTGTACCCTCAAAGGCAACAAGCCGGACTTCCACCTAGCGATGGACGGCGACCGGTCGAGGGACTTCTACGCCGAGTTCCTCCGCAGGATGAGGGCAGAGCACGGCGAGCAGCTGGTCAAGGACGGCGAGTTCGGAACGCTCATGCAGGTGGACATTCGCAACGACGGACCGGTCACCATCGAGCTGGAGTCGTCCGGCTTCAAGAAGGTGCCACCGCTTCCGCAGGAGAGGGGAGAGCCGGACGGGGGCGTGGAGGAGGACCCCAACCCGTGATGACGGTGCACGATATTCAAGGTGTAAACTGCCCGAAGAACCGGGTTTAGGTGCAAGGAGGACGTTGCACGTGCTTGGGAGAAAGGAGGCTCGGCTGACACAGAGTTTCTAAGTGCTTGGGAGAACCACAGTAGGAAGAAATATGGCATGGGTCGGCCAAGTGAACCGTAGCTGGTGAAAGCCGGAACAGAAAAGCCGTACCGATGGCGTACGACAGTGTGCGACAGCACCGAGTGAGGATGTATTGTGTGCTGGCATGAAAGCGTGCATATTTGGCATGGCTAGCAATACATTGGATTCCCGGCCTGAAGAGCCGTTGCAATGCCAGTTAGTTTAAAAAGTCCGTGGAAGGAAGGGGAATTGACTGCCGCGCCTCGCTGCTTAAATTATCGGGCGGCTCTACGTCAGGATATGGCATTGGAAGAAGGGAGTGAAAGTAGGAGTATGTCTTTCGTTTTAATTCTATTATTTATAAGCAAGAGCCGCATCTTTTTTCCTTGTCGCGAGCAGTTTCTACGCTGCATCTTTTTTTCCTATCGCAACCAGTTTTTCTGTGATCTGTAACGGAAGCCACTTGGGTTTGACTGGAGTGCCTCAGCATTGCCAACATTGATGTGCCCTATGTCTCCTTTTGCTAATAACGAGATTTTGTTTCATAGTAGACCAATAGCATAGCCAATGGGGAGGCTTATGGGGCTTCAGCCCCCTTGAAATTCAGCCGACCGTATAATATGCACATGTATTTTGAGCCCCTTTCTCCCTTTTTGCACCCCAAGTCATGGACATCCCAGCTGCTTTAGCCCCCAACCCCCGCCGAAAAAGGTTTTCTAGCTACGCCTCTGTAATAGACCAATTTCGAAAGCCCATCGAGCAACAATGACAGTCACCATTCCTTAGGCACGAAGCGTGTGATTGGATCCGAGTCCTTGCCAAACGCTGACACAGCAGTCATGTCCAATATATGCTCAGATTAGTATGCGGAGTGCAAGTTTGTCTGCTTCTTGCACAGGGTTGTGGTGAAGTAAGAATGCAGAGTTCTGATTGGCTCAGATTGGAAGGATAGTGGGTAGACCTCCATGCTAGCTGCCTTGAGCTGCCTGCGCAAGGAGCAGACAAACTTGCGCTCCGTGTATGACAGAACAGTGGCGGACTCGAATAATTGACGCCGCAGTTACTAGATGTGTTGGATGTGTACCTGAAAGGATGCGTTGGGGATTGATTGACTCTAAGTTTCATGACTGGGGCTTGACACACCGCAGTTTCGTTTCTTGGCAACTTGATAAAGCGTCCATAATATCTTTCAACAACAAAGCAGTGAAGTTGCGTATGAAATTGAGCACTTTTTCGCCTCCTTTCGGGATCTATCCACAATTGCAGAATGTGGCATTGCACCATTTGCTTCCTTTGTTTGCGAGTGGGCACTGTACACTTATTGTGCAGATTAGTAAGCTCAAACCTTCAGGAACACTTCAACCTTAAAGGGAGGGTGCAACGATTTCCGGACTTCGGTCAAACATTTCTGGAAGTTGCCTTTTGACATTTCTAAACTAAAGAACCAAAAACCGATTTCGCCTGCGTGTCCTAGTTGTTGCGTAAAAAAAAGAAATATTGGCATTTCGGGCACCCCTCAACTCACTCCCAGCCTTCAGGGTCACACCAGGTCCCCCTCCTAGTGACGTCATTTGGAGTGCCGTGTAGGTTCCCGTGTGCTATATCGGAGGACGCTTCCTCTCCCTCTTCCTACTGACATAAGCGGGCGTTATGCTGCAGCTTAAAGCCGAGCGAGGTCACGTAATCTTTTAACCGTAGTTCCTTCGGCTGCCACTTGGGGCTGCAGGTGAGGGAAAAAGCTTGACTTTTGCTTTGCGATTATGAAGCGGAATCACAACATTTTTAATGAAGGAGGTGTTTTCTCTATCCTCCGGGACACAATAAACAATGTAAAAATGACGAGATGCAAACTCTTTTAATCATAAAATCGTTGCACTGCCCCTTTAAATGACGCAGAATTGAAACCATGCCAGCTTGATAAGCAGTATCTCTTTGAGTGAAGTAGGCCCTGTTGTGGGCTTTCTAAAGAATTGCATGCATGTTTTCGTTGCTTAATAGGTAACCTCCAAAAAGTCAAATATTTGTGCAGTTTCTCAGTTCCTGCTGTGCTTGATTGGCCCCGTGACTGTCAGTGCAGTCTGAAATTTCTTTCCTTGCATGTTTTGATGATTTTTTTTTTTTTTTTTTTTTTGCAAATGTTTGGTTTTTATTGTTTGGGTTGAAGCCTGAGGACAGCTTTCACGAGGAAGGCTGTCACGACGTCGTACCAACCTGCAAAAGGCTCGTGTGTGCTTAGATTTTTCAAGTCTTTTCGATTCCCTTTCGAAAGCCCGCTTACAAGTCTTTTATAACCAGGCGTGGCCTAACGGAGAAATTTTTTCCGGGGTGATACTGGTAATAATATGAACCTGTTTCAGGTTACGAAGATTGTGTTGTAGCGTTGCACAACAAAAACAAAAGTGTGCTTAGTTGCAGTATGCCAATATTAGGAAGTATATACTTTTGTCTGAAGCCAGCATTGGGAATTCTGGGACAAGCTCGCAGTAGGTAGTGATGCTGCTGCTCAGAAAGCCAGTGTTGGTGAGGCTTGGTTTTCGTCTGCCTTGTGTGGGAATGCAGAATGTTTGCCTCAACCAAATTAAATCCATTGCATTGGACAAGATTCCACTCCTATTTTTTACTGTTTTGAGCTTACATTCCTCCTCTTTTAGAGTGCAGCTCTTAGGTGCCCGTTTCCGGGTTGAGCAACATCGGCATCGCCATCAGTGTAACCGCGCGTTGCATTATGAAAAAATTTCCCGCTAAATTTAGCGGAAAAATTTCCCTGCTAAATTTAGGGGGAAATCAACGTCTCGTTACCTGAACACCACTTCAGTTTCCTTAGTGGGAAAATTTTTGCTAACTTTCCCTGCTAAATTTAGCGGAAAATATCCCTGCTAATTTTTGCGGGTTATTTTTACCTGCTAAATTTAGCGGGGAAATCGACGTCACATGGGCCTCAACAACGATTCAGTCTCCCCACTAAATCTAGCGGGAAATTTAGTGAAAATTTTCTGCTAATAGGAGGACAGCAGGTGAGGAGGAGGGGAGGGGGAGGAGAGGCATATTCTCCCCTCCTCCTCCTCAAGAGCTGTGCTCTAATTCAGCATTGCAGAGAATTGTAAACGTCTGATTTTTTACCTTGTTGCTATTCCCCGAGACATTGCACTTTAGTCGAGGAGATCGGCGACCGAGCGCCCCACAACCCGGAGCACGTTGAGCTAAAGCTCGTGCTGCAGGACCCGGTGATCCTGGGTTCAGTCCCTGCCCCTGCCCATTTCGATTTGGGCAAATGGCGTACCAGCGTGCGGCCACATACCTCCACTGCGCAGTGCACGTTAAAGACCCCAGGCTGGGTGCGGCAAGGGCTAAATTTCTCATTCACAGCAGAAACACCAGGTGCTCATTGGGGCCGATTGCCTTCCTGCTTTGTCAAAGCATTGAGACGGGGTTATGCCCTGCAAGTGTTTACACCAGAGACGCACCTTTCAAGGCAGTTTGAGCACGCCGGTCCTTTGATCTTGGATAAAAAATGTGATTTGTAAGCTTGTGTCATGAAGGTATTGGTTTTTCCGGATTTTTTTACCAGATGTCGTGCCTTCGTGTGACACCTGTGCTAAAGGCTGCACTTTCTCTGGCTGCTGCCAAACGAAATGTAACGCGATAGCATTTTTCCTAAAATTGCCGAAGCAATGCTGGAACAAAGAGCTTGCAGCGGTATTAGCACACTGTAGTTACCCATGCGACATAGTCTTCGCTAGTGTGCGTTGCTCTTCGCTCTCGTTTGGTGGTTGCTGCGGTGGTACGCTGTCCATTGGTCTGACAGGCTTATTGTAACTTGGCTGTGGCAGCTGTTGCACATTATCCACTGCATCGATGATCTCTTCATTGGCCTGTTGCTTCGGCAATTCTAGCACACTCTTTGGACGTCCGTTGAGCATTGCGCTCTCGATCTGCCTTAGCGTGGCACCGTATCTGTGACAATTCTTCCTTGCGATCCATTGGTCCCCTTCTCGAAGGCCTTGTAAAGAGACTAAGCCACAGTGCGTGCCTTCTACCAAAGTGTGCATACTAGCCGTGAACTACAAAAATTACCTTCACATTCTAATTTGTAGTCTGAGGGTGCACACACCCTTTCTCCTTATTATTTTAATAAATGTTGTATACTTTGGCTAAAGGTAACAGTGTGTGACTTTTTAACTTCGCTGTTCGTTGTAATCTCTACATCTCTCCGTACGTCAATCAAATACCATAATATCCGGAGTCATCGCCCAATCCCCTGCCGCCTGAAATCCAAGTCGGGCACCTTGTCAATCGCAGGGAGCAGGCTCTTATGCAACTTCCTTGTCTGGTGCACGCATGCATGCGTCCGTGCACGGCGTGCTATCAACGCGTGTCGAGACGGTGTTGCTTTGTGGCGTGGGCGGCACCACGAACGTGGAGCTCGGAATGGGACGCGTCTGTGCGTGGCATTCCATCAAATCTTTATTTGCTCGCTGTGTTTGTCTAAAACATCGCACAAGCTTACTAATTGTGGTCGTGACATTCCGGGAGAAGGAGCGGGTTCGCAGTGGGACCTAAGTTCGGTGGAGACAAACGTTGACCTTACTATCCACGGTTACACTCCAGGATATGGGGCGTTCGCTGACCTTGCGATCTATGAATGGGTTACTGCTTGTGCTATCTTGCCGATTTTTTTTTTTTTTTTCGTCTCAACAAATTTTTTTGTAACAAAACAAAGTTTCATTTTGTTATCTCCATCGTTTTCCTTTTGCACGAATGTACCCCGACTTTGGGGTCGCGGAAGTCGGGGAGGAAATGCGTAAATAAAGAGAAGTGCCTTTCCCTTCATTTTACTTTGTTACTGATGTCCTCCAACTAGGGTCCACGGCTGCGTCATTCGGGTAGAATGATTGTTTGCGATCGCAGAGCCCGCATTGCCATATTTATAAAGATGGGCGACCGGTCCGTGCTTTTTGGAAATTAATATTTGCCCAAAAAGTTGGGTGGGCAATGACTCGGGATATTATGGTATTTGATTGATGTACGGAGATAGCTTTCTTGTGTCCACTTTCTGAATATTTTTCATAGGTTTGTGGGCATGACCAATGTTACACTCCTAAATTGAAAACATTCAAATCTGCAAAGACAGCCCGCTCAAGAACATGACTTCATAAACCTGAGAGCAGTGATTTGATTCATCGACACATATATACACTTTCGCTCAAGATCTATAACAGGCGTGGCCAAACCACAACTCGCGAGCCTCGTACGACTCCTCAGGGGCCCAAGTGCGGCTCGCATCTCCCTGTAAACCTACCTCCCCCACAGGATCAAAAAGACATAGAAAAAAGTAATTTTTTTCGCCCACAATGTGCAAAGAAACGAAAGCGAGAGCTGTAGCATGGTCGTGCAATGCGGGTGGAATGGAGCCCTCACGTACCCGAGGACGGAGGTGCGACGTGGTTAATTCTGATACCTGCCATGGTTGGCATCGTGGATGCTACTGACGATTGCCATCAGTGATCCATGAAGTGGATAAGTGCGGTGGAAGTTTCTAAAACAGTCCAACATTACGCTTAGCAACTGAATGCTGCCATAGTTGGATTTCACATAATGCAAGTAATGTTGTAAAACAAGTCTTTCAAGCAGACACAATGAATCTCCCTGCATTGTGCAATTCTTGGCGAAACGCCAGGGCTTCCATCTTGCTCTTTGCGCGTGGCACGGAGCACGGGAAGGATTTCCCTCTCCTCGTGGCAAGAGGGGAGAGAAGAGTTTTTACATTTTCCCCACACGCTGCGATGACAAGGGACAAGGACAAAATCTCTGCAAAGTGTCGTCCATAAAGCTATCGCTTTAAAAAAACGCTGCTTGCCTTTCGTTAACTTGTTGCCATTACACGCACGTCAGACAAGGTCCTTGTTTTATAAATGGGGACTTACAATAAAAAAAGCATACTGAGCAATCGCTTTACGAGTGAAATTTGTCATGGCCACCGACTGAGAAAAAAAAAACTTTTATTGCGGCTCTTCACTCAAAGATTATTCCTTTTTGTGGCTCTGACTATGTTCATCTCACCACTCCTGATCTATAACAACGCTACATGACAACTCGTAGGAGGATTTTTATGCGACTGATTTCGGGCACGAACGTCTTGCCGTAAACCATGCTGGGACATTTCATCCTATGTGTTTTGATGAACGAAGCCATGTTTTCCAGCTCGCTCCAGTTCCCTTGTCTTGTGATACAATTGCCCATACCGCTGCCTAAGCAGTCGGCGACACAAGGGAGCAGTACCCAAACTTTATACATATGTACCAGTTATTATTTGGAGGAGCATCCCACTTCCTCTGCAGCCACAACTGCTCCAGCAGACGATGCTGGGGCAAGCCCGAAAGAGAAAAAAACGTGAAATGAGCAAGGGTTTGTGGGGCACAAATGTGTCCCTGGTCATGCTTCTCGAGTTCTATATCACTGACGGTGCCACTCACCAAGCTTCTTTTTCACACCGCAAAAATAAGGGCAATAAATAATCGTCTGCGTGTGAATTAATGAGAAAAATGGCAGGCGGCCATACACGGCTTACCAAGAGTGCAAAGGTAGCAAAATTAAGAATTTCAAAAGTATTGAAATGACACTTTCATCTGGATGTGGTGAAAAATCTACTTCAGCGAGCAGATGACGCACTTCGCAGAAGACGGAATAGGCCAAGAAGATGGCTGTCAACCCTAATCATGCATCTGCCAAACTGGGGAAGATACTGGATACCAAGAAGGACGAGGAGAAGGCACAGCGAAACAGAGACAAGGTAAAAGAGGTACGGTGACAATGGCGTTGGAAGTCAGCAGACCTCAAGACTCAATAGAATCGTTGCCTCTGGATCACATAGCTTTGACAAGCCCCCTAAGAACTGCTATGTGTAAATAATACTTGGTGAACATGACAGGTCTTCCTGTACATTTTGTGCCATTGCAGGCATCTGCATAGTTGCTTGAATTTGTACACAATGAAATCATTGGCTACGGGTCAAAATTCTTGCATTCAGGTGTGGAATCATTGTTAGCACAGGTGCAGAGCAGAGGTGCTCTGCACAAAGACAGTCGGAGATAGGATATGGCAGCCAGCAAGAGCAATCCACGTCTCCAGCCCCAGCTGCCCTGCGTGCCTGCCGTTGCTGCTCCCTGCAAAGTGAAGGATTGCCTTCACCACAGACACCTTGCTTACTCGGTGCCACCGTGTGGAACCCAAGTGCACCTTTTGCCCACTGCCTTCCTGTTGTATATGCTCAAATTTGACAGGCATAGCGAAGCTTATATAGGAGGCTTACTGTCGGCGTTGGCTTAGGACAATTGGTCGGTGTTGAATGAAAAAATCGAGAGTGCAGGAAAGCTGGTGGAAGTTCAGCATGATGCTAAATAACCTGAAATGGAGGAAAGCAAATTGAAACATTCAAAGGCGGAAGGGACAGGCAAAACATAAAAGGACAGATCACGTCGTTGTCTGTTCATCGTATCCTTCAAGCGTATGCCACCTACAATGTCATTGTGGCATGCATTCATAAAGATGTACGAATGTTAGCCTGCTCAAAATCTCTTTAGTCCTTTCAAATCACAGTCCATGTTTCTTTCTTGATTGCTACTACTTCAGTCATTGGCTTGCATTAGTACTATAACTCATTAATTCTACGCCACAGGGTTGTTCTTTTTTGGCACAATTTTCAAACTTAATAATTGGCCTAGTTAACCACTTTGCTACGAATGTTTCCCTGTAACTGCACTCTTGAGGAGCATTGGGGATCAATGATGCTACCAGCATCGTGACCGCTGATGTGCTTCAACGTCAATGTAGTTCTGGGGATAATAATTCAAGAAATGGATCTGCATGTTTTGTTATCCAATCTTGGTATGCTATAACATACCATATTTTACCATACCACACCATATTTTACCATGGTGTACCATATTTTAATGCGAAAGCATTAACTGTCTCATGGAGTAAGCCGACGTCATCAGCTTCGAAACCACACCAAACTGCTCTTTTACACCGCTTCAATCCCATTGGCTAGCGCGTCCACAGCCAACGGCACCTTTTACACCGCTGCGATCCCATTGGGCGCGTTCAGTAGCGGCCCCGGAGTCAAGGAGTCACTGACTCCTTCCACTGGACAGCCAAAAGTCACTTCCGGTGCACGTAACTCCGGGGCTTCGGAGTCAAGCTCCGAAGCACCGAGTCCAGAGACGGTGCTCGTAGAGTCAAAGGAGCTAAAGATGACGTCATTTCCTGACTGGTGACGATTTCCGGCAAGAGAAAAAACAAACAAAATGGCGGGATAAGCTGCATCAGTTCTGTCGCGGGTGTGCGGTTTGCTCGCTTTTGTTGAAAAGTGCTCAAGGTAAGACGAATAACGCGTTTGAATTTCTTTTCCAGGTAAGGCTCTTTTCGGAAAATGCATTGAACCGTATTTTGTTTGGTTTGAATATGCTAATAAACAACGTAAACGTTCATTTGACGCCGTGTCTTGTCCGCCGTTGCACGGAAACTCGGTGAGTATCGACGATAGTCCTGTCCGTGCTGAACAGAGCAAGGCAGGGTATGAACGCGAATTCAGTAGCCGGTTGGACACTCACGCAAAGCATGATCCCAATTGATGTTTTGTTTGCATAGCTAAATTGGGGTGCACGTTGGTCGACGCCCACTTCGGCTGACAAAACCTTGATCACCGAGCCCGGCCGAACTTACCATGTGTATACAAATACAAAAAAATTGGGTTGTGTGTATGTTTATACAGCCTAGAACTTGGCCTGCCTCACAGGGGCGACGAGTCTCCCAGCTGTAGATGAGCAATTTAGCCAGTGCAGTACAACCGCTAGCCTGGGGTCTTTAACGTGCACCACACAGTAGTGATACACGACCGCACGCCAGTACGATGCTCATCCAGATCGAAACGGGCAGGGGTAGGGCTCGAACCCACGATCCCTGGGTTCTGAAGCGCGAGCTTTCGCTCCACGCGTGTCGAGCTGGGTGTGCGCTTCAGCCCACTCGGCCACCGATCCCCCCTATACAAATACATTTTATAGGAAGTTCGTTATGAAGGGCAGCACAAACGTATGGCCGTATAAAAGTATCGCAACCGGCGGCGTAGATTCGCCGAGCTCTATATTTTGTGTGTGCTGACGTCGTTTTTGTCGATTTTTATAACAGTAGCCGCCTTTGCACCGCCAAGCGAAGGGCTTGATCGCGTTGCATTGCTTCGAACAGCAGCGCTGATGTGTCCAGTCACTCGCTTTTTCTTCAACGACCTTGTCAAGACTTCTTCATACCGGTGTCAAATAAAAGCGATCGTGCTCGCTATCGTCTGCTTCCAGTTTATTCAGAGACCGTCTGGCACAGGGGAGGAAGTGGAAATTGCGTAGAAGCAGGTTTGGAGCCGAGCCTCAGCTCGAACGGAGTCACTCCGTTCGAGCTGAGGGAGCCGCTACTGAACGCGCCCTTCGGCTAGCGCGCGTCGACCAGGCTCCCATTCGCCGGACACACAGCGGAATGGGGTGGCCGATCATTAACCTGATGCTGCACGTCAGTTTCAATGATCGGCCACCTTATGGCACTGCGTATCCGTCAGTGCACCAACACGCGTAGAGTAAGATTGATGTACATGCTTTCGCATTCGCAACTCATAAGAAGTGCTTAGGTATACCTTGATCATTTTTGCCCAAAAAGTTGCTGGTGGCTAGAAGCCTAACCTGTCTACACCAAAATCTAACTCTGAAGAAAAAAAATATAGTATTTGTAATTTGGTTCTTTTATAACTACAGATTGAAAGTTTGTGCCAGTATTAGAAGCTGACCACAAGTTTTGGTTTTGGGACCTTAATATAAAAAATTCTAACAAAAACAGTAAAAAAATTTACTGTACAGATTTTACTGCATACTGAACAATGTAAAGAGTACCTCTGGTAAGCTTGTAATAGTCGAACAATATGAAAAAGCTCAGACGAGTGCGTGGCTCTGAAGACCTCCAGTGCTGTCTAATTGAAGAAAGTTGAGTTATCATTGACGCTACTGTATGAACAAGCAGCATTTCAGCGGCTCTTTGAATTCTATCGTTACTCCCCACTTGGTCGGCAAACAATTGTTGAGTCAACACTTACAGTAGTAGTGCTCGGTGAAATAAAATTAAAACCGCTTGTTGTCATTTATCCCACAAACCCTTTATCAAAAATCTGGACACTGATCACTCAACCTAATGACCCGGTCGTTTCAGCCACGCTTAATTTTGCCTCTTGTCACAGAATGCCTCTACATTCGGTGCAGAATTTAACATTAAAAAAAAACACACAACCTAGGAAAAAATACTTTTTTTTTTCTCTACCTGTTTAGGATTGGCATGCCTCAAAATAAATGTTTGTTGAAAAAAAAACATTTTTTTTGCACAATAATTATGTTACATTACGAATTTTTAGATGTGCGGGCAAAACCGAAACTGTACTCTTGTGGTATGATGATGATTGCACCCAACTAGTGTGTGCTTCAAGTTCCAGCAAACTCGAAGTGCACACTAGTTGGATACGAACACTATCATCATCATACCACGGATGAACAGTTTCGGTTTTGCCCACAAATCGAAAAATTCGTAATGTAGCATAGAAATTGGGCCAAAAAAAAAAGATTATTTTTTCGACAGACATTTATTTTGAGACACGCCTGTCCTGACTAGGAAGAAAATAATTTTTTTTTCTCCCTAGGTTGAGGTTTTTTTTCACTTAGTGACAACTGAGTTAATTATGCTGACAGCTGATCAAGCGAGGAGTGGCGACAAAGCAGAACAGCCACTAAAGCCACGGTGGTAATGGTCGAGCTTTCTTCCAATAGATAATGCGGCAAGCCTTGCAAGACACATTCACCTGGGCTTTTTTATATTGTCTGCCACTGTACCGAAATGGACTTTATTACAGACTCATTCTATTATGTCATTGCAACCTCAGATAATGTCACGAGGTGGCGTTATTCTTGAGCCAAAAACATGCACGTCCTTGTGGGAAAACGAAAACCAAGATTTATTTTCAGTGCCTTAGCCTTCAGAAAGGCTCGACACTGTTGGCGACTCACACAATTGAGCAAAGTTGATGCAGCCCATTGAGCGTTGTAACCTTTACGGGGTGCAAAGTGGAGCATTCGTGGAAGGGGCTGTTGTCTCTGCTAGGCAGCCAAACGTTTGGGCACCAAAACCTTTCCCTTCCAGGCATCTAAACCCGAGAGCAAAAGCTTCCCGGTCGTTGCGTACAGGCACAATGAGGATTCGTACGGCGCTGCAGACCACTTCTCCATTCGTTGCAGGCCTCCAAAGTGGGCTTTGGAAACCCGTAACCGAGAGAGAATCAATACAATAGAAGTGACGCTCTTCCTTTCTCCTAATGGCAGCTATTTGGATTCAGATGCCACTCCTACAACCCAAAAAGCTCAAAGCCCACCTACCGCGCCTACACCTCAGTGTTATTGTGGCCACCGAGGTTCTTGGTGCCCATACATCTGACCTTTAGTGATCATGCCCTCCGACTACTCTAACGATCCTCCTCTATACAAACTACGATGTAGCGCCTTCTTTTGTTTTCTTCATAGCTGTGACCTATGGAGCGTCGCAGTTTTCCATTTTCACTGACGACATTGTTTCCCGCTTCACCGTGATAACATTGAATGTTGACTCGCACAATGTCCTAAAATGAGTCGGTACTGTGGATGAACGAGGAATACGGGCTAAGGCAGTTAATGCAGCATCCACACAGACACACGCACACTTTTCTACACATCCTTACACACACGCCTACAACCGCGCATAGAACAAAACAGTCACGAAACGATACCTGACATCAATGCCTGTCAAAGGCCCACAAGGTCCAACGTGAGCAATCTGTACTTTCCGGGAAGTCCCCTCCACCGTCCATCTTCGCTACCCTCTCCGTGCAGGTTCAGATGCTCTCCTTCTCGATGTGCACATCCACACGCACATGCACGCACGCACCGCACAAGGTTTGTCCAGGAGGCCCCTATGCTCCCGTGGCCTCAGAACGTCCCAAAGACCTCCTCCTGTGTAGGCACAGGCCTGATCTGGGGTCCCAGTCTCGTCCAAATGAAACCACACTGCGGCCCCTCGGGGGTCTGCTTTGGGTATGGGCTGTTGCGGGACTTGAAGTACTCCGATGGCGCGTGGCACACAAACTCCATGCACTCCAGCTTCCGCGGGATGTCCTCCTCCGGACCTGCAAGTTGAGCGTGAGCTGAGAAGTTACTCCCCACAAGTTGGGCCCCAGCTCCCTCCTCTGGGAAATTGAAAACTGTCTGCCTATGCCCTACATGGATGCAGGCCAAGATTCTAAAATTCTTCGTTATATAGACCTGCTTTTTGTTTCACGGATGCCTTGATTATGAATTTTATTTTACGACCCCTAATGAATTGTATTGTTTTTAAAGCGAAATAATTCTGACCTAAGGGGCCAACAAGTCGAAAAGTCACACGACTCCAAAAGGTAAAACAATTATTGTTTTTCATAAACTAAAATGTCACATATGTAAATTTATGAATACAACAGGAATCTGTTCACATCTCGCAAGTTGTATGCAGTGCTATCGGAAGCATGAAAATGCGTGGACAAAACTTAGCAGAATGCCTCCTTTACACAATGAGCACTTTCTGAAGTCATGTGCGTGTGTCTAAGCCTCCAACAACTCTATATAGAACCTTTCAGATGGAGTGTGGTGCAGATGTGCTAGTGCTTTCACCAGCACAAAAGGTCTGGATTCTGAAGTTAGAAGGAATCTGAAGCCGCCGGAATGTCGTGGAAGCAAACGCACCAAAATGAAACTGAATCGAAGAAAGGAGAGAGCTTTTCGCCTTCAATATTTTCATTTAATACCTTTAAACATAAACAGCAGGCAAGCACTGTATGTGGTCTTACTAGATATATAAACAAAAACTGTGCCTTGACCTTTCAATGCTAAAGCATTAACTGTCCCATGAAACAAATTCAGCATTGTCTGTAGCAGCGAAAAACTGTACCTAAATTCCGTCTGTAGCAGCAAAAAAACCCCACAGCAAAGATTGGAGAGCAAGAGCAAAAGCATTAAAACTACCAAAGCCGTGCTTCCACCTGTTTGCAGTCAATACAGACCAATAGCCATCAGGTGTGTAGCCGAGATAAACAATCATAAGTAATTCTAGGGTCCAGCTTGCCCACTATTTACAAAAAATTATAAAATTGCCCGACAAATTTATTATTTTTTTTTCAAATTGCTTTTATTTAGAAACACTAATAAAGAAAATGCAAAAGGCCCCAGAAAAAAAAAAAATGTTCTGAAGTTAATTTTTGTTACTTAGAAGCAACAGCAAGAAGGCTGTTTTAAAAAAAAATGACAACAAGTCCACCACAAAGCAGGTCAAGGACTATTCTAAAAGTTGTTTGACTTAAAGGATTGTTTGATACGATCAAGATAAATTATTTATCACATAGATGTGTGAGCCCGACCCCATTTTTTAAGGCCTGCCACTGGTCAGAGATGTCGCACTAGCCGGTGGATGGTGTGCTTGCTACAACATGTTTTTTATGTGTTCAGTTCTTTGTTACATTATCAAAACATACATGTTTCAAGTGCAAGAAAGACTGCTTTCTTTGACTACCGAATCTTGCAAACAATATTCCGTGCAGTGCATAAACTATATCTGCAAAAATTGTCTTTTTTTCTTTTTTTTGTGCTTTTGTGAATTTCACATTGCACTGAGCAAGGTGACATTCCACTGGTCTGTTTCATTTCGACCTAGCTTTGTGTAATTAAGCACATTGAGCGTTGTGCATAATCACCTAAAACTGATTGGGTAAGTTTACATTATTCATAAAATATAAATTCTGAATATGAAAGCTTTGTCTCTTTAAGGCATTCCTTCATGTTACTTTCAGCGTCAGACGAAATCTGGTGAAATTTCGACGAGGGTCTGGTATCACGACCACTTTCCGATCTGGTAATGCCGACTCCCACGACTCCTACATTGCACCAATTTCTTTCCCTCCACATCCCTGCCGCTATAACCGGGTCAGAGAAAATAATCACCAGGACAACTTTTGGGAAATCGGGCAAAAAGAACATGAATAAACATAGAAAAAAATACATCCCGACCTCCTGCCCCAAGTGAAGGAGTTGCAAATTTTCCTCTGTTCTGTCTGTCCCCCCAGTTGTTTTATTATTTTATTATTTTTATTGTAGTCTGGTCTCATACCAAAAGGCAGATGATAGATGGAGAGAACATGTGACACTTGTCTGTATGCATGATGATGCGTGCCAACTCAAAGTATAGGGACCATATTCAGAAAAGAATGGTACAAAAGTGACCGCCATTGTTGTAAAGCCTTAATTTGAAGGAAGAACAGGACCTAAACAAACATATAAAGGCACTGATTATCCTTGTGACAGCGCCTGTACTCTTTTGATATGGGCGGAAGCCTCCGCAAACTTCGGAGCCCACCAACCTAACCAAGATGCTCCTCCGTGCCGGGTGCTTCTCCGAACACACCGGTGCAAGGCGGTGAAGTTTTACCTGCGAGCGCCAATGGCGAAGCGGTGAAGCCCGACACAAGAACTTTGGCACAAAGCGGCCTTGTTGGGAGCGGCATGGCTGCTTTACAAATGAGCGGTTCTGCCAGATTCCTATACTGCTATAGCATTCCACTGGATCAAACAAGGGCCCACCCTATTACGTGTCCCTCCTGCTTTTCCACTCATGGACCTAAAAAGTGCCCATTTCCATTTTTGACCAATTATCACTTTTGGGCGGGCGCTACCTCAATGTTTTATGGAATGCCTCGCACCTAGGACCTCGCACATCTTCTGATCATTTGTGGACCATCAGAGCGAAATTTGCGAATACCAAGTTAGCTAACAAATTTTGTGCAAAATGAATCGGATGTAGGTACAGCGTGCCACAGGCAGGTTGAATGCAATCTGTGATTTGCACACTAAACGGGGATGCAACAGCTTTATACGTGCAAAAATGGCAAGGCGGCTTGATGCTGAAGTCCTCATTTTGCTCCTCTTGCAAAGCAGTTGGCACGTGTCTCTTTGTAATTTACTAATTTGTTGGAACGAGTTGAAAGTTACAAAAATCTGTGGATTGCACGTCTCCCGTGCAGTCCTGTTGCTCCCTCTTAGATGACTGTTCTCAGGCCCTTGTTGAGCTACTTGTTCAGGCATCCGTTCTGGTGAACAACGTTTTCAGTTTCATCTGGTCGCTTTTAATGGTCATAAGGCACTTGTCACGCAGCAAGAGTCCAGTAGCCTTTATTACAAGGTATCTTTAGGGACTTGTGCATATTTCCTAAGAATCTTGGCCACTGAAAAATATTTGCAAAAAACGGGAGGCGGCTGCGAGGTACGCAGCCCTGCAAAAATTTTTTTTTCACGAGCACATGTGCCGAAAGCTTTGTTCAACCTTAAAATGTAATCAAACATTGTGACTTAGGGTCGGGTTCCAGATACAGCTACGATTAAAGTGGCAGGCGTGGTATGGTTGGGGTACAGATGTGGGCCTTAGGTCACGATAGGACCGATCTCATCGGAGACTACCATATTTACCTGATCATAATGTACCCCAATTTTAAGGGGGGACGAGGGTTTTCAAATAGCTGAAAATGACAAAATAAATTATTCTTAAGAAATCGTAATTTTAAAATTTTGACAAACTATGATTGCACTATTCCCTCCTTAGCTATTTTAAAAACAACAAAATTCAAGTCTCCAGGAGCTGGATATAAAGTATATAAAAATATTTGAGTGATTTTCTTATCTTTGCCTTTTTTGTCAAGTGCCATTGCTTTACGGGGGTTTTGAGGAGGTTCTTCTGAATGGATATCAGGAAACTTGATATCAGTTTTCTCCAATAACTGAACTGCATCGTAAATCTTTATGATTCGTCCTATAATAGATAAAAAGTGATTAGCTGCAATCATTGTTGGGTAAAGTATATCCAAAAACTACTTAAAGTAAAGTCCAAAGTACATTAGAGGTTATGTACAGCTGCAACGGAAAAAGAGTAGCACAAGTCACCGATGACCGGAGCGGCAAAATCGCGACACGCGGTGCTATTTTTCCCGAGCGCGCCGATAGCGAGAGTGACACTCACGTTCCATGTCTCAACGCGGGGGGCGGGGGGGCGGCAGAAAATTAAAGGATAAGATAGCTTTCGAAATGCGGGCTTTAGGATGGGCTGCTTTCTGCCGGCCACCCCCGTGTTGAGACATGGAACGTGACTGGCACTCTCGCTATCGGCGCGCACGGGAACAATAGCGCCACGTGTTGCGATTTTGGCGCTCCGGTCGTCGGTCACTTGTGCTACTCTTTTTCCGTTGCAGCTGTACTTCAAGCAAAGTAGTTAGTCTACCAGGCACATTGTACTTGAAGTAAAGTACTCTACATACAGTGTACTTTCAAAGAAAAGTACAAGTACTTTTTAACACAATCTTTCCATGGTGCCCTTTCATTCCGCAATCAGTAATTGTGACTTACCAGAAATGGCGGTGAATATTGGTTAAAGTTAAATGGCCACAGAGTATAGTTGTTCTACCCTCGCTGACAAACTACTTTAACACTATCAACATATCGGGCACTTATTTGTACCTGTCTTATAGCCACCATTACTTCACTCAGGGAAATGACCAGATAAGCAATATGTCGTCCGCTCGGGTTTCTGGTGAGAGTACCAATATCCCTCCCAGTATCGCTTTAGGGTTGACAAAGCATCATTTTGAGATACAAATTTAACAAGATCAAATTTGAGGAATGTGCTTTGAAGTCAGGAGCTATACTTTCATTGGAAAGAACCAGAAAAAAATACTATGATGGTGAAAAAAATACGATGGACCCTTGTAAATCACCATATGTATTGAAAATAAGGTTTTAGTGTGAAATTACCCTATTGACTCATAAGAAATTACCTAATTATGAATACATATTTTGCCATATCTTTTGATTGCGAAAAGACATCTAAATCTGATTACACATTCAAAATTAGCACTAAGCATTAACATCCCAACACTGTATTTGAGCGAGATATGTTAATAAATAATAACATTTTAAGAACCCTCATCCCTTCTTAAAGGGGCCCTGCAATCACATTTAAGCGTATACCTTTTTTGCGGTTTCCACGTCTCTTGGGGTTCGGGCAAGCCAGCGGGCACGGAGAGAGTAACTAAATATCAGTGCATCATATTTTAACCGCACGACGCGGAAGCTTCCTCCACCGACGGGGGCGACCCGCGGTACCGAAAGCGCGCGAAATGTGACGTCTTTGGTCCTTGGCTTACTACTGGTCAGAGCCGCTAAAAGCTTCTTTTTAGTCGAAATACAAAATATAAGTGGTGCGAAACGTTTCAATTGTTTATAAAAGTAGTTTTTGTTCAATGTTTTAGGTCAGAAAAGAAACAAATGCAGTTTATAAAGTACGGAAACAAGAAATGACCCGTCGACATACGCACCACCAAGCGGGGGAAAAGGCAGCGCATACTAGAAAAGAGTAGTGGGATCAGGCGCCGACACGGAAAGGTCCCGAATGTACGCGGCGGCGCTGCGGTCGTTTACGGACTTGAGGATCCGACCGGCTCCGAGCGTTCCGAAGCCTTTCAGCGAGTAGCTTTGTCTTGCGTTTTGGCCATTTTGCGGTACGGCAGCGCGAAGTGACTCCCATTCTGAACTTATCTTCACCCCGTGTTTGCTGTCGTTTGTGGCCAATGAAGTGTCATGCCGAATTAGTGTTTAATCGCGCAGCAAATGCAATGAGAGCCGCTCTGGCTGCCCGCTGTATACAGCCTATCCAGAATACGCTTTAGTGGCGCCCTCTCGCGCCGTCAACACGGAGTGCGGCAGCCGTAAGCGCTCGCTGAGCTCACTATCACTCCTCTAGTTCACGGCCGCTCAAGCAACCAAGGACGTCATGAGGGAGGTTATTTTTTGCTTGTTTTTGTAATTTTAATTTGCCTATAACTTTTAAAATAAGGCGAAATTCGAGAAAAGAAAAGTTACATTAAGTTACTACGGTCAGTGCGCTCAGGTTTGATGCAAATTAAAAACTAGTAAAAAAGTGCTTGCAGGGCCCCTTTAAGGCATACTTAGTTTTCATACTAAATATAACAATTTGAACACGCCCCTGATTTCAGTTTTGTATCCGATACTAACACACAGGCAATTTTTATGCATATGTTTCTAAGAAAGCTGTGTGCAATAAAATCGGGTAGTTACGGTAATTAGAGTCACCTGGAAAAACTCGATCAACAGACAATTTGCTCAAACTTTAAAGACGTGAAGCACACAAAGAATGATGGGAACATTCTGCATGCTCCTCCTCAATCTGCTGCATGTGCCACATGAAACTGAAGGAATCAAGAGGGGGAGAGAGAGACAGTACTGCAGTTGCTCGCCTGCCCCCGCCCGCTCGTCTGCATCGCCATCGTCGTCCGCTACAGCCGGTTCATTCTATACAGCCAGTTCCCAGAATTCCTTCCAGTGCCACGGAGGGCGTTGCCCGTCTTCCAACGGGTCCATTGGGGCGGTACTGACCCAGAAGGTAGGTGGAAGGATCGAAGTGGTCCTTGGGGCTGGCAGTGGTTGGGATAAGCCAGGTGATGACCGCACTCTTCTCGCAGTACTGGTCCTGCAGCAGGCCCCGGATCTGGGCGTAGTAGGTGTCGTCCTCTTCATCCATCATGGACACTATGTCTCCGACCTGGTAGTACGTGCCCTGGGGGAGGGGAAGAAGTGACAGGGGACGTCAGCACAGCACACGGGCGGTACACGTCGCACAACCGACAAAGAAAACTAACGCCGAGTCGAAAGCCTCGCAGATAAGTGCCATTCTGTGGCACCGATCCTGAATGTGGAGTGGTATAAAAATAAAAGCTGATTTAATGAGTGGTCAGACTACCGCTCACCACCCGTGAGCGAGCACCTCTTTATCGCTCAATGTTTTCATTAGTGGTGGTATAATCCCTGCCAGCCGAAGGCAGAATAGGTCTTAAGACCAAGAGGATGAAAGAATGTATGAGCCATATTGAAACCACCCTCAGAAAGCACACTTCATCATCTAACTTGCTCCTTTCCAGTCTTGTCTGGAGATTTTGGAGAAACAACATACTCGTCACACACTGGGCAAGCTTTACCCTTCACTTTGGTTAATCTAGGCTATGTGGCTTGGGTGTAATTTAAGGATTTATTAAAATGTGTCCATACACAAACTTTCAACTGTTGTCTGAATTTTTTTTTTTTTTTTTGCCGTCTTCACTTTTTGAATTTTTTGCTGTGGAAGGGGCACCGGGTTTTAAATAAATTAATATGAATATTGCTTCCAGAAACATTTACCTTTCCTAATTGTAACATGCTGCACAACCCATGCAAATAAAACGCGAAAGAGAGAGAGATAATAGATGATGTACTGTTCTAAATAGATTGTATCAGAACCCTTCAAGGGCACTGCAGTTAAACATATTATTAGGTTGCCACCTATGCATGACTGGAGTGTGCACGCTTTGTAGCAGGTAAACTATTGGTTTGGAGCAGCCACTGATGCTTTTGGAGCAGATGCCAAGAAGTGTTAGCACGTCATTTGAAAATGAAAATTTAATTGCATAGCTTAACGGGTTTATATTTGATAAAGATGAAGGGTTCCTCTTTGATACTGAAGCAAATTATATTTGTTATCTTTTGTAGTAAGAATGAATAGAACACAAAAGGAACACAGTCTTCTCTTTAGAAATTAAGCTCAGCTCAAAGTAGATTTCATTTAAAATCTGGGATTTAAAAGTGGTCGAAAATGAATCGCAGCACAAAACTTTAGTTGAGATAAAGCCCCTCTCCCTTTTACACTCAATAGATAATTTAGCCCATAAATACAATTCCTCTAATGTCAGCAAAAGTCAACATATCCACTAAAAAGTCTATCAATAAAATTACGTCCCACCAAGTTTTATGAACACCAAACTCAAGATTCTAATATAATAAACTGCCAAAATAACTGCCATCACATATTATGAAAACTTACTCATACATTTGTGCTTTAAAGTGACACTGCGCTTTAGCGGCATCCGAACTGGAGCTGAGTCAAAGTACACTACCCTTCCGGTTCACTGCTGCACAGGAGCTACCCGATTACCAAATTTATTCAAATATACACCTTTGTTTTTTTCTTCTTTCTTGTCACATCTTTTCTTAAATTAGACATCAGCCTACAGTCAAGAGTCGTCATAAGTGCTTGTCGAAGTTGCTAGCGAACACCACAACGCCGTTAAGGTAGACAAGACAGCTCTGCCATTTTAAGCCTGCTAGCACGGTGTCCATGACACACTGGAAGGTTGCCAGTGCTGTGCATATTCCAAAGGGCATCACTTTAAATTCGCACAGTTTGTCAGGTGTGACGAAGGCAGTTTTCTCCCGGTCCTGTTCATCAACCTCGATCTGCCATTAGCCACTCTTCAAGTCCATCAACGAAAAGTATCGGAAGTGGCGCAGACGGTCTAGAGTATCATTGATGCGGGGGAGCGGGTAGACATCTTTCTTTGTCACAGCATTGAGTCGACTATAAATTACACAGAATCTCAGGGTTCCACCCTTCTTCCTTACGAGCACAGCAGGTGAAGACCATGAACTGCTTCATGGCTGGGTGATGTCATCGTTGAGCATTTCCTTCACCTATTCTTGGATGATTTCCCCCTCTTTCAAAGAGACACAGCACGGTGACTAAAAGACTGGGTGCACGTCGCCGTCGGTAACATTGTAATATTTCGCCACTCGTGTGTGGCAGACTTTCAACGACATGGAAAAACAGTCACTGCGTCCACCGAGGAGATCAACCAGTTGCTGGCACTTTGGAGCTGAGAGCTCAGGGTTGATGTCGAGCTGCGGCAGCGGCATGCTCTCGTACTGTCACGACGAGGTTTCCTCTGAGATTGCGGTGACCACGGCTGGCGCTTGAAGCTCCTTGACGTGGCCCATGGCTGTACCTTTCGTTAGGTGCTGCCGCTCCTCTCGCAAGTTTCTCACAAAAACGGTTGTATGTTTTTCTTAGAGATCCATTATGCCTCATGCGATGCCAATACCTTTTTCAAGGAGCAGTTGGATGCTGGCTTCCGGAAGAGCCTCACCGCACATGGCTGCGTCGGTTATGACGGTTACAAAAACATTCGACCGCAGCGGCAGGTTCACATGGTCAGCAATAACTAGGATCGCGGTTGACATCGTCTTGGGCTCCACCGGCGGCAGAACAGGCTTTCGCAGCATCAGCTGGTTTGCCACAAGGTCGATGATGGCACCATACTCACAGAGAAAGTCCATTCCGAGGATAACGTCCCTCACACAGTCCTGCAAAACAACGAACTTCACAGGGTACGTCTCACCGCGGATCTTGATGCGAGCAGTGCATCTCCCAACTGATGTGTTCCATCCAATGGTGTCGTCGCTTTCTGAAGGCGGCGAGAGAGCCTCCCACTTAAGGCTGAGTAGCCTGCGCCGGTGACTACAGCTGCCAATGTGTCTTGGCCATCGATAACAATGTTTAGGTTGTTGGGCACTGTTGCAGATGATACGTCGAAAGAGTGGGAGTGCTCCGGCGTTCTTGGAGGCTCTTTACCTCGGTCGTCCTCGGCAACACCACCTCCAGGTGTCAACGCACTTACCGTAGATTTCTTGGTGAGATCGGGCATACAGGCTGTGCCGCCAAGAGGCAGAAGGGCAAAAACGCACTTCAAGGCGAAGGCGAACGGGAACCTTGTGGTAGAGTCGGCTCCGGGGACAGGGGTCATTGGAGGTACTCCTCGATGTCCCTTGGTCGCTCTCCATGGCGGGTTTGCGGGGCGCTCGTTGCATAACCTTGCAGGCCCATTTGTCGGTATAGGCACCTCCAGTAGACATGGTCGGCCTAGCTGCAGTGATAACACAGGGGTCGTCGATCAACCGTGTGCCACACACCCATCTTCCTAGGCACCGCTTGTTTTGTACGGACGAGCTCGGGCTTCCCTTCTCGACGTTGGAAAGTATGCGGTGCTGGTAGCTCACGTTGAGGCGGTGCTGAATACCGCCGGGCAGCTGGCGCCAGTTTTTGAGCTGCTGCGGCGGAGGTCAGGGGGGTTCCTAGGGTGCTGCTACGCTGGCAGAAGTCTCCGGTTGGATTGCCCGCTGCACTTCCTCACGGAAAACTTCAGCTATCGACAATGAAGAGGGCTGGTTGGCAGCAGGCAGGAGCTTCCTGAGCTCTTCTTGGACGACGTCGCGAATGATCTCGCGAATGCTTGGGATGTTGGAGCTAAGATCGCAGCTAGATGGCCCGAGGGTAATCGCTGGTAGTGACTAGCTTTGGCTTGCAAGGCACGCTCAATGTTCATGGCCTCGGTGACAAAATCTTCAAATGCTGTCGGAGGGCTGCGGACGAGGCTGGAGCTAACATCGCAGCTAGATGGCCCGAGGGTAGTCGCTGGTAGTGACTAGCTTCGGCTTGCAAGACACGCTCAATGTTCATAGCCTCGGTGACAAAATCTTCCAATGCTGTCGGAGGGCTGCGGACGAGGCCTCCAAAGATGTCGTCTTTCACCCTGTGCATGGGGACCGGCAGCTTCTCGTCATCTGTGGCTCGCGAATCAGCACGGGCACTCAGGCGCAGGGCATCTTCTATGAAGCTAATGATGCTCTCGTTGGGGCCTTGGGTTCTGGTTAGTAGGTCTTTGGCTCTTTCACGGCGGTGTGTGTTGACAAATATCCCCTTCAGTTTGTTCTTGAAAACGTCCCACGAAGTCAAAGACTCGTGATTTTCGTAACAATGCCTGGCAGTCTCCGCCAGCGAGAAATAGACGTTTTGCAGGCACTGCTTGTCGGTCCAGCCATTGTGGTGAGCAACACGTTCATAGTGGTTGATCCAGCCTTTGACATCTTCGTATTGTTCTATCTGGAACAGAGCAGCCGTCTGTGTTGCGACGGGCAGGTAAACGATGGCAGAAGTGGCCGGGATCTGCAACTGGTTGGCCATCGTTGTCTTCTTCGGCTTGAGTCTGTCCAGCAGCAGGCCAAATCCAAAAGCATATTCCTGGGTGTGGCGGCTGGCCTGAGTTTCAGGTCCCTCGAAGAGTGGTCTTCTCGCCGGGCTTGGGATTGGACTTGGTTGACAGGTCCGCAGGGGAAAATGAGTAACCTTGGGCATAAGGTGCTACCCCGCACCTCCACCGAAATGTCACGAACAACATTTGATGAGGCGACGATTAACTGAAGAGAAAACTAAACATTAATGGTGCAAACTTGTGCCCTAAACAATATAGAAGAAGGCTAGCGTCGCAGCGTCAATGTCGGTATAACAGCAGGGTCGAGCCCTGGGGCGAGACTGACTTCGGCTCGCCACGTGGGGTTCCTTATGTACATGCCTGGGCTTCTGAAATAATCGGCGTAGAAGGTTCGGCGTGCAGAACATTCATACCTTAAACAAGCAACAGGGTTCTTGAATGTATCAGAACGCAACATTTACAGAAACAACGAAAAGGCGCTGAACCTCAGCCCATTGCGTGGGAGCCAAGCACGATAACCATCTGGACACAGGAACGCTTGCTCGGAGGCACACGTGGCACTATTGGTTATCCTATACCTAGAATGCGGCTGATGTCTGACCAAATGTTTCAGCTGTCACGGTAAATTTATGTTTAAAATTGTGCAATGAAACTATGATACAGAAATCATGCATTCCAGAAAATTTGCAACTCACCTTGATCCTTTGCATAAAACTGAGATGCAGAGCATGTTGTACGTAAGCCACTTTAACCTTTTTTTTTTGAGCTTTTAGAATTCTAGGTCCGAGTTAATCTTGCTTTCTTTTTTTTAGCACTATTAGACTTCTTTCATATGTATTGCTCTCTTAGAGTGCTTGAAAGGCTAAGGCAAACACAACATATTCTCCATCTTCCAACATTATTGAAAGAATTAAAGTAAGTTGCAAATGTTTTCCATTAAATCACAATTTTAGCACTTTAACTTAGTTCGCAGGGCGCATTTCAATCCCGCTTCTAGCTGCCTGTTTTGGCTGTTATGTGAAGTCCCATGACACACTCATCAGACCATGACACCATGTGACATGATCCCCAGGTAACTCTGGTGGATCATGTAACACCTATAATGGTCATGTGACCATGTATTGTAACCTATAGTTATTCAGCAATGCAAGTAGATAGCAGCTGCATAATGGCACTCATCCAGGTCACTCGCTGGTGCAGGGGTAGAGCATCAGACTACGGAGCGAAAGGTCCGGCATATGATTTGTAGCGACGTGCGAAGCTTTTTGCCTTGATGCACCTCTACATCTGCACGTATCTCGTCAATGACTTGCCGATATACAATGTCATGGTCATATGACCAGTGCATAGCAACTGTGACGATACCAAGCTGTTGCCATGGGAAGCCCTGTCACATATTTTCGTTAATGCTGCATTCTAGATGGCAAAACCAGTTCATAAATAGAAACACTGTGAACTGGTTTAAACAAATCAAGCATGCTTCTTTTTTTTTTTCCTCTTCAATGACAGACATTATAGCATGGGTGACAAATGTCTATGTTGACATATGTCACCCGTGCTATCATGGGTGACAAATGTCAGCTCAGTAAAAAGTCTGATTTGCCATGTTCCAAGAGTTTTTACTGAGCTGACATTTTGCTGGCAGTCCTTGGAAGGCGTTTACATCGAATTTTCAGTGCTGAATGCAATTTCAGAACTGAAATAAAACTTCTAAAAATGTGGAGGGCACCATTTCTCGAACAACTTTCATTTATATTTTCTCTCTCGCCCTTTCTCCTTCTGTGGAGGGCACGCCTTAGATGTTCTTCGTGACAAACCGTACACAAAAAACAAAGCATATGATATCATAACAAGAAAAGCTATTTCATTGCTTTGGAAGTGGGGCTAGCACAAAATTTTGTTAAGATGTGCTTAAATAATACATGTATTTTATCCCCTGGGAGTATTCATTTTATGTAAATTAACGCTACCCACACGATCACATTTTTCTCATAGAGGCAGAATTAGGTGCCATATTTAACAGATTGAGATTAAAAAAAGAAAAAGAGTAAAGCTGCGTTTAGATTTTCAATTTCAGTGATATTGTCTGCTCAAAATTTGGTATGACAAACTCATCATTTCAGGATAGATATTTGACAGGTAATACATGACTGATATCAAGCAAACTACACCAACTTGACATACCAATATTAACAATTTAATCGGACATTTCGTCTCCCATCATCAGTGCACATTCAGAAACATATAATTAAGACAAACAGCTTATCTCTGCAATTTGGTCTTTCAGTCTCCACACATAACGGTAAGGAATATAAATCTGTGTCGAATAGTCGTGCAGGGTCAAAAAAAAACTTCAGTTGTTTGAGAAAGCGATACTGCCACCTTCACTTCGCTAAGCCAAGTATTAAGCTGCGTGACATAAAACTGTCACTGCCTGCCCTAAATGGCCTTTGCGTAATCAACTGCGATGGTAATAAAAAAAAACTGTTAAAGCTCACTCCCCAAAGAAAGCTGAGCAGCATAGGAGAACAATAGTATGGCACGCTAAAACATGATAAAGAACAATTTTGCACACTTACCCTAAAGAATACAAAATCACTCGTCACACAAGTAGCCACCGCGGTTGGAGCTTTGAGAGGCTGGAAGAAAGAAGAGAGAAAGAAAGATAAAGAAAAATGAAGGGCACACGTGGCAATTATTCCAGACGTTCGAAAAGGCGAAAAACTCAAACAAAGTGGCGCTCTTAAGCTAGTGTTTCGGAACAGCGAAGAGTTCACGCACAGACACAGCATTAACGCTGTGTCAATGTTATTATCTAAACGCAGTAGGTTCGAATGATCGCGTCGAAAGCGGACCGTTCTAATGGTCGCCCCGGAGCGACACAAAACGTTCCCCCTCCCAGAGTGGAAACAAGGGAAATGAAAACGACGATCACGACGACCGTGAGCTCGACAAGGAGGCGGACAGAAGCAGCCTCGGAGGTAAGCTTTTAAATCCGCAATGAGTACGTTTTTGCAAACCTCGATGTGTTAAACGTGCATTTACTTAGCTAGGAAACCTGAGAATCTTCTAGAGCGAGTAAGAAGGAACCGAGGCTGCCACAGGCCGACCGATCCTGTTCCAATCTTTCCCGCTGCGATGAAGGCGTTCCTGCCTTCGATTTCCAACCCGACGCTGTGTCAGACGCCTCAGCCACCTCCTCGACCCGCCTACACCGTCGCCGTACCCCGGAGGAAAACGCGGCCCTCCCCGCGCGTACGAAGCGCAAAGCCGAGCAAAGTGTGCCGAGCTCGGCTCGAGCTCTGTACGAACCCCTCGCTTGAAGATGGCCCTGCGGCCTTTCCCCTTGGGCACGGCCGCCTTGGCCTGCTGCTGCTGCTGTCTTAGCTTGGAGCTCTTGGCCCGCGTGCTCTTGCGCAAGGTGAAGGGGCACCCGTTGCTCGTGCCGCCGTTGGCCCCGTTGGTCTCCTTGGACGAAGCCGCCTGGTCGCCGTCGCTCACAGTGTGCCCGCGGAGCGCGCATGAGTTGCAGATCACGTCGCCGGCGTCGGTCTTGCGCCACATGGACGACACGGTCGTCTTGCATGTCGCGCAGAGCGGTTTCACGCCGAAAGGCATGACGCGGGCGCCGATCGAGCTGGAAACGTCGCCGTCAGGAGAAGAAAACGGGCCCCTCAGTCGCCATGTTGTTTGAGTGGACGGGAAGGTGAATGGATGCGCGCCGGCTGAAGCAGGTATGGTTTCGAATGAGACGGTAGTGCGCGCCGTTTGTCTGCGCTCCGGCACCGTACGCAACCACGAAAACGCACAAATCCGAAAGAGCTTTTGGCTGTCATAAAAATAGTTCATAAAGTAAATTCAATTACATTGAAATAATAAGCTTGGTTTTTCTGACGATCAGTGGAAGAAAGACGTATGATGTTTGTCGAAATATATTGAATTTCTCTAGCTTTTTTTTTTTAGTCAAATGCGAGTCTAAAAAAATTGATCTGCAAAATAAATAGTTTTAATTATATGCTATATGTATACAACTTTATTGCTCAATAATAAGTGAGCTAAGTCCGCTTATTCCGCTTATTCCCTTTTCAACGCTCAACGACAAGCCACAAGCCAGCCAAATGCAATCCAATCCAGTCGAGCCGCCAACATGGCAGATAGTAAGCGTACAAAGCGTTCGCAGCCGGGCTGGAAAGCCCCCGTCAACGAAGATGGCCCTCGTTTACGCCTGTACAACAGCCTCAGCAGGGAAAAGGAGGTGTTCGTGCCACAAACAGGCAAGCGGGTGCTGTGGTACAATTGCGGACCAACGGTCTACGACGCCTCCCACATGGGGCACGCGCGCTCTTACATCAGCTTCGACATCTTGCGCCGGGTGCTGGCCGACTACTTCGGCTACGATATCTTCTACGTGATGAACATCACGGACATCGACGACAAAATTATCAGGCGCGCCAGGCAGAACTACCTCCTGGAGAGCTACCGTAGCGAGAAGCGGTCAGTGGCTAGCCTGCTGAACGACGTGAAGAGTGCCGTCGATATTTACAGCCAGAAGGTGCAGCATGAGGAAGACCCGGACAAAAAAGCGATGATGACGCGCTTACTAGAACAGTCCCAGGCGGCGATCGCAGCCGCTGAAGAGACACCCGAAGACGGAGCTAGCTCAGAGAGTAAGCGAGACGCGCTGCTCGACGCAGCCGCCGACCCGGTCTCCGCCTGGCTCGACTCCAAGCTGGGCTCCGCGGTCTCCGACCATTCCATCTTCACCAAGCTGACGAGGCACTGGGAGGAAGAGTTCTACAAGGATATGACGGCCTTGAACGTGCTCCCACCGGACGTCGTGACGCGGGTGAGCGAGTTTGTGCCGGAGATCGTCGACTACGTGGCCAAAATCGTCGAGGCCGGGTTTGGCTACGAGTCCAAGGGGTCTGTGTACTTCGACACGGCCCGCTTCGATGGCGACCCCGGCCACTTCTACGCCAAGCTTGTCCCGGAGGCCTTCGGCGACCGGAAAGCGCTCCGCGAAGGCGAAGGCGACCTCAGCGTCGCGGGCGACGACGAGAAGAGGAACGCCAACGACTTCGCCCTCTGGAAGGCCTCCAAACCGGGTGAGCCTGCTTGGGACTCCCCGTGGGGCGCCGGACGGCCCGGCTGGCACATCGAGTGCTCCGTCATGGCCAGCAATCTTTTGGGTTCGTCGTTGGACATTCACACCGGGGGCTACGACCTCAAGTTTCCGCACCACGACAACGAGATTGCCCAGGCGGAGGCTTACTTCGGCAACGACCACTGGGTGCGCTACTTCCTGCACTCGGGGCACCTCACCATTGCAGGCTGCAAGATGTCCAAGTCGCTCAAGAACTTTGTGTCCATCAGGGACGCACTGAGGAGCCACTCAGCCAGGCGGCTGCGGCTCGCCTTCTTGCTCCACTCATGGAAGGACACGCTTGACTACAGTGATAACACGATGGAGTCGGCTGCCCAGTGGGAGAAGACCTTTGGCGAGTTCTTCCTCAACATCAAGGATGTGCTCAGGTCGGCTCCCATGCCGGATACCATAGAAGCCTTCGCCAAGTGGGGCCCCGAAGAGTCTGGCCTCAATGCCAGCTTTCAAGACGCCAGAGCAGGAGTGCATGCAGCCCTCTGCGACAACATTGACACAAGGAGCGCCCTCGAGAGCCTTCGGTCTGCCGTGACAGCCTGCAACGTCTACTTGAAAAGCAAGAAGGCGTCCAAAGCGATTCCGCATGCGGGTCTTCTCAAGAACATGGCTCTGTACGTGACAAACATCCTGAAGGTTTTTGGAGTGGTGGGCGAGCAAGAAGCACCGACCCTCGGGTTTGGGGGTGGCGGAAATGCGGGAAACTCTGCGGTCAACGAGGAGAAGCTCGTGGCACCTTACCTGGAGGTGCTCGCCGAGTTCAGGGAAGGGGTGCGCCGCTTGTGCCGGGCAGCGGCGGGAGGGAAGCCGGAATCCCGCGACCTGCTGAATCTCTGCGATGCCCTCAGGGACGATGTGCTTCCAGAGCTTGGAGTCAGGCTCGAAGACCACGAGGAAGGGGCACCGGCCATCAAAGTGGTGGGCAGGGAAGCCCTCGTTGCGGAGAGGGAGGAGAAGAGGAGGGTGGAGGAGCGGAAAAGGGAAGAGAAGGAGAGGAGGAAGAGGGAAGAGGAAGAGGCAAAGAAGGAGAGGGAGAGACAGCGGAGGATAGACCCCAAGGAGATGTTCCTCGGCGAAACGGACAAGTACGGCAAGTTTGACGCCGAGACAGGGCTGCCCACGCACGACCTGGAGGGAAAGGAAGTGAGCAAGGGGCTGCTGAAGAAGCTGAAGAAGTTACAGCAGGCTCAAGAAAAGAAGTACGCAGAGTACCTCAAGGAGATTAGTAGCAATGGTGTGCCAGAAGGTTCTGAACGCTGTGGGGATTTTTAATTATTTGCAGTTGTGGTTCCTAATTTAATGCAGAGGATGATAAGATGGGTATGGGTTTGCAACAATGTAACATTGCTTAGTTGTAGTAATTGTTTGCAAAAAGTAAAGCAGTCATTGTTTTCTTTTACTTTCTTTTATTGAGCCTGAGACAGGCCTAGCTATACAGAAAATTGTTGTTGCATAAATCAAATGGAAACCTTTTTACCCATGCAATTTGCAAGAGACCAAGTCAGTTAATTTTTTTTCAATGCCATGCAGCCACGCGACTAGAAGAAGCTCTGGGGTGGCTCCGCGATGTTTTTGTTTGTTTGTTTGTTTTGCCATGGTTTTCAGCAAAGCAAATCTGAACATATGTGGTCAGTTAATGTGGCATAGTACAATATTATTAACCTGAAGAATACCAAGGTTTACTGGCATAGCATTTTGTTTTTAAACAAATACTTAATTCAGTTGGGCATGATATGTGCTAACTGAAGAGTTGTGATGTGCAAAATAATTTAAATTCTGAGCAGGGTCTTTTTATGGTTTTTCACTTTATTTTAGTTCTAATTAAAAAAAAAGAGTGGATTTGAAAAAAAAAAGTTATCTAGTACAATGTGTTCATTGTTGTTTGTGGTCAGTGATTAGATGTGCCAGCTTAATATAAATGTTTCTTAGAATTGTTTGGTTTCCTGCAGCAGCAAACCTTCTTGCTGGGGATTGTTAAAACCTTGTTCCTGAGCCTTTCTTAAAAACAAACAAAAAATTATCTTGAAATGCCCTGCTCTTTGCATACTATATATTTATTGCTGCAAATTTGTTTCTTCATTTGCTTACGAAAACTTAATAAAATGCACAGCACTATAGTTAAAATGTCAGATTTTTAACAATTCGTTTTCTGGTAGTGTGGTTCTGCTGTTTCGTATATCTAAAGTCGCGCTAGCATTCTAAAAGGCCGCTTGATTGTTGCAATTTCTTGCCTGTGAATCCAATAAATGCACATAAATTCCTATGTTTCCAGTGTTCAAACTGAAATTGCTTGCAATGCAGCTTCAAAACAGTTGGTGTTGAGCACCACTGCAGTAGGCAGTGGTGCTCACTGCAGTAGGCAGGATGTCCTAACGTCCTGGGATATCCTTTGAACGTCTACAAGACATCCCCAGAACTAAGTTTTCTACTACAGAAATTTCTTCGCGCAGAGCTCTTGCATTCTGGAGAAAGTGAAATGGTCTATTTGCTCCTTGAAAGACCTGTTTACCGACCCTTGAGAACTTCATGATTTAGCCTCCACGCACCAAGATGTGGTTGCAACTTGCACTGGACCGGGCGTCTCGCACTTCGAACGCGCGATGCCGTATACTTTCGTGGAGTAGCAGGCAACAGAATACTATATTTTATGCAGTGTGTCGAACCGAAAAGAATACGGGTTCGGTTACGGTTCAGGTTCAGGTAAATTTATTTTGTTCCGGTTCGATTAATTCGATCCGCGAACCGGTTCGTGAACCGGTTCGGGGCGCTGAACCGGTTCGCGAACCGGTTCGAAAATTATAAATGACAAATTGCAACATCAAAATAAATTATAAATAAAACATCTGAGATCAGCACATACGAAACGGGATACATCGTAGTGTAAGGCTCGGGGATTTCTACCAGGAATGGTTTCTTTATGTGCACTCAAAGGTTTCCTCACTGACGTTTACGCATTCGGACTTCACCTAATTGGGTCCGACGCAGTAGCTGTAAAATCCGCGACCTCCTTACAAACCCACTTACAAGTAGAACTCGCTAACTATCCCGCCACCTCGGCGTGTAAGCAATTGAAGGAACAGTGGGGAGAAAATACAGCTTTTTTTATTTGAACTAGCCTTCGGTAACTCAAATTAGACCCTTAAAGAAGTTTTCATTAAACAAGATACGGAATATGAAAAACACTTCACCGAACGCAACGCCAGAAGGGCGTAATAGGATAAATATTAAAATAGAAGAGTTCGCTGTCTCACAAATATGTTAGCTTCTAAGTGCCTATAGGAAACCGGATGCATTATTATCAAACTCCCACAGCCTTTTCTTTTCTCATTCCGATGGAAGCAAGCTTCAAGAACTCGCGCGTTCTAGAAACGTGTTATGAAATGAGCACACAACAGCATTTAGGATTTACGAGATTGTAGGAAAATGAAATCCCGTGACGCGATTTTTTTTTTTTTTTGCACAGCCTTTTAATTCTCTTTCTTCCGTGCAAGCCGCGACCAGCGCAATACTGGTTCCTATGTCAAGATTCATGGACGCAGCGTTTGTCAAGATTCATGGATGAAGCGCTTATATTCCTAAGACTGAGTGGAGAAGAAAAATATGTAAGCGAGGTGTGTGTCAGTTGACGGCACTCAAAACACAAATGGCATTGATAGCACATTCATTGTCAACAGCGCGTGGCCGAACCGTTTTGACATGAGCCGGTAACCGTTTTTTTTCCGGTTCAGTTCCGGTTCGGGTTAATCGCGATAACAATATAACGGTTCGGGTTCGGGTTCAGTTCCGGAAAAAATACCGGTTCGGTTCCGGTTTTCGGTTCGGTTCCGGTTCGACACCCTGATTTTATGAAAGACGCTGTCCATTCCCTAGCAAAAATTCTCATAAAGATTTCTTTAGGACCATTAGAGATTTCTAATAGCGGTGCACTAAAAACGTTTCTGAGATCGTTTGTTCTTGGTGATAAGATAACTCATTCTGCGGGATCTAAGCATCCCAGAAATCTAAATATTGTGCTCGTCCGACGTTTCTAATAAGAAATAGCATTTGGTCCGGTTATCGGAGCCTAAGACAAAATAGTTATAGCTTCCTTAGAAAGGCCGTAAGAAAGGACAAATTATTACATTACATCTATTGTTTCCCCCTCTTCTAGTCTCCTAATGGTGTGCCTTGTTCACGTGGTTATTTCCGGGGTGTGGCCGGAACTATCTTAGCAGCCAACGAGCGTTCGACTGATCCGACGAAGGACAAGGAGCTGAACGTGGTCATCTTTGACCTTGGAGTTGGAACCTTCGACGTGTCCATCCTGAGCATCGAGAAGGGACTGTTCGAGGTCAAGTCTACGCCCGGGGACACGCATCTGGGGGGTGAGGACTTCGACAGCCGCATGGTCGCAATCCTTGCACAGGAGATTCAGCAAAAACACAAAAAAGAGCCTGGAGCACGACAAGAAGGCGCTACGCCGCCTCAGGGCCTCCTGCGAGAAGATTAAGAGGACGCTGTCATCCTCTTCGCAGGCGTCAAAGGTCTATTGCCGGAAAATGGTTGCGTTCTACCCATGACGGGAAACAGCTCAATAAACAGCGGTTTATTGAGCTGCGGTTTTGTCTTGTCTTCGTCTGCGTTTAGGGAGCATTTCGTCCCCACCACGTGCAACGTTTATCAACTGGCCCATTTGACTACCTTATAGTATGGTTTAATTGTACTTCTGCTACTGCTTCCCTAAATAATATTTTCACCTTGCCGTCTGTCAATAAGGCCGAACAGCACAATCCAGGATTAGTTCCTCTTGTATTAATACTCCATCCACGTGCTCATTCAATGTGTCGAACTTATCTTCGAAACAAAGTTCAACGTGATAAATATGGTATTTGTGGCAGACATTATTCAGGCATTGAAATTATGCAGATATATCATGATTTTGTTAGGTCTACTGGCATTCTATTCAGTTTCAGAGGAATTCGTGGGTTTTCCGCCATCTATCATAACCCCAGAAATTTTGGACATGGGCGCGTCCTAGGGTGCCTACATGTCTGTCTGTCTCAGGGTGAAGACATCCATTGTTGCACTGAATGTGCCAGCGCGTGACGCTCTCGCGCACTCGGTGCTTGACTTGGGCGTTAAAATGGCGTCTATGCATTAGCCAAAGCTACGCGCTCGAGCTGAGTGACACCGGATTGCGCGCACTTCAAAAGGCATCAAAAAGGATTGGGCGGAAAAATGGCTGAGATGTCACCACTCAAGCAAAAGCGCGCGTGTGTATGAAGGCACTCTAGCGCGTCCTCACAACCTGCGCCATCTCTCGGTTTCCCGGAACGTGACCGACCTTAACTCAATAGGAAGAACCGTTTTATTTTTAATTGCTCAATACCAACACAAATAATCAGCTTGCTCTCATTGGAGTTCTATTGAGTTGGGATACATCTGCAAACGAAATTCCAAACTCGTTTGACCATATTAAGTTTAGCCAAGGGACAATCGAAAATTTTCTCATTGCGCCTATGGAAGCACCCGAAAAAAAGACCGTGTCTTCATACAAGAACCACGTCCTGAGAAGAACTGTCTTTTATATGGGATTGCTCTCATTGATAACGGGTACCAAGTGAACTCACTTAAACTATGATGCTTTTTTTTTGATCAATCAATATTACGAAGGTCCATGAGCATTTCAGATATTTAAAGGGACGGCTGCTTTCGTCTTTAAAGGGCAACTCCGCTCAATTCCGAAAAATTTAGGCTTACATGTGATTCCATTTCACAAAGCACTACTAAACAGCTCTACGTCCTGGGATTCGCGAAATGTGGGATATTATTTGTGTAATCTTAATATAAACATCAGCTGATACCGAAACCGAAACTTCGTTTGCGTCAAGCAACGTTGGTCTCGTGTAGTCAGAGTCATGGCCATGTCACGTCGAATCACGTGGTCTTGTGACGTTCGTTGGGGCGAGGGACAGGACGCGCGACGCGGGCAGGTCGCTTCGCATGGCGTGGACGGTGATGGGCCGGGGGAGAGGGGAAGGGGAGAAGACGAAAGAGGAGAGGGAGAGCGGAGAAACAGACCGATAAGCGCGCAGGACAGCGCAAACTAGCGCATCAGCGTTACGGTGATCACGTGGACGCCGTTCAGCCAACACCGGGAGGAGAAACTCATGACGTCATCGTTCAATTTCGCTCTGAGAAGTAAAAACTAACAAAACGTGAGAATGACGTATCATGCCTCTGACGTAGTGGCTCAACGTTGGCCGCTACAACTCCGTCGCATTGACTTCGCTGACGATTGCGCCTCAGGTCGCACGCTAGAGTTGGCAGATTTCGGCAACTTGGCTGATTTGAAACTTTGCTGGCCAGTTTATTAAATATATAGACGGAATTATATCGTAATATTTGACATGGGGTCTTCCTATATGATACTGAAGAGGGCTACAAAGTTTTCTAAATATCAAAAATGAAGCGGAGTTGCCCTTTATAGGTTTAGAAAATGCATAGATGGGGCGCATTCTATGTGTGATAGGCGCAATCACAAAATATTCAAGCAGGGCATAAACAGTATCAACAAATACATAAAACCCCTACAGAGGTCTTAAGATTCGAGGTTTGAACCCGGGTTTACAATCGATAGTGATTTTATCCAGTCAAACTACGATTAGACGATATTACTGTTGAACTGCAATAGCATACCAATAAAAGCAATAGTTGATTTCGTTCAATTACACGTATGTTACATAAGTAAACATGGGCCGATTCCTTAAAATTGCGAAATTACGTGGACAAACGCGCATGTTTGCTGCCCAAAGGCTAGAACCCCGACTTGTGTCAAACCCGAGTTAGAGGATAGTACCGTCCTTCTAATACCCGTGCCACACGGGTAACTCGAATGCCATTTACAACGAATGACATTTGTGTGATCGGCGAATCAGCTCGCAATCTGTCGCGCGTGGAATGCGCCACGCCCGGAGTGTCGCGCGCTTATTGGCCGTCCGCTTAAATGTCATTCGTTGTAAATGGCATTCGAGTTGCCCGTGTGGCACGGATATATAGGTTGGCATACCGCTGAGAGCAATTGTCTATTGGCGACGTGCGCGACCGAAAGCGTCGCTGTGGTCGGCCTTCCACACTCTTAAAAAAAAAAGGTGCGCAAAGGGACCAATCGCCATCTTTCATCCCCGCGACCCTAGCGCCCTCTATTCAGAAGCGGTAACTCGAGCAGTTCGTCCCGCGGGCATTTCGTTGCTCCCGCTGGAGTTGATCCCCTAACGAATACTT